GTGTGTGTGTGTGGTGTGTGTGCGTGCGTCGTGCGTGCGTGCGTGCGTGTGTGCGTGCGTGCGTGCGTGCGTGCGTGCGTGCGTGCGTGTGTGTGTGTGTGTGTGTGTGTGTGTGTGTGTGTGTGTGTGTGTGTGTGTGTGTGTGTGTGTGTGTGTGTGTGTGTGTGTGTGTGTGTGCGTGTCTGCCTGTGCGTGGTTGTGCGTGTGCGTGTGTACGCCTGTGTGTTGTTGTCCGTGCTCTACAATGCATAGCGTACCCTTTCGGGACCATTGCCCTGCTCAACATCCGACTGTGCGAGTAGAGAGGGGATCTACGCCATGGTAAGGGTTGGGAGGGAGGGGAAGGATATCAGATATGACACGAGCGCACCTAGCTTGTCCTCCTCCTCCTCCTCCCTCCTCCTCCTCCTCCTCCTCCTCCTCCTCCCTCCTCCTCCTCCTCCTCCTCCTCCTCCTCCTCCTCCTCCTCCTCCTCATCATCATCATCATCATCATCATCATCATCAACATCGCTCATCTTCTCCACCTCCTCCTCCTCCTCCTCAACATCTTCCTCCTCCTTCTCAACATCATCCTCCTCCTCCAAGCTCAGACGTCTCCGATGGCCTCGGCTCCGCAGCCAGTGCCGGCGGGCATGCCCAAGAATAGGGAAACGAACAGTGACATAAACATAAAAACTCGGAAGTCCGCACGGATTTCTCGGATCCGCGCTGGACCCCCCTGGCGGCGCCTCCAGCGCCGCCCCTGGCGCTCTCCGCGCGCCACGGAGGGGGGTCAAGCACCGGTCCGAGAAATCCGCGCGGACCTCCGAGTTTTTATATCTATGTGAGTCACTGATCGTTCACCTAAAGAAGATGAGGGGGGAGGCGCCGCCTTCGCCCTGCGGCTGCCTGCTCGAACTGGTGTGGACGGCAAGGCAACCATGATTCGCATGGCGGCAGCGGCCGAGACGGCGAGGTTCGCCGCGCGGAGAGGCATTTCGAAGTCGATGCCGATGTCCAGCGACAGAGCTTACGGCGGCGTCAGGGGCAAGGCCGACATTGAGCTTGCCCTGCGGGACGGTGCGGGCACTGACGCCGATGAAGTGACGGGCAGGCTGCCGTCAAGGTCTTCCTTCCCGTCGGGCTGGCTGTCCCTGGGCGGAGCCCAGGCCGACTTCATTCTCGAGCAGACCAACCCTCGAGAAGATCATGAAACAGGGTTCCCGACACACGCCTCCGTCCGTCGTCGTGAGAGGCTGGATCGAGACGTGTTCAGTGTCTCCAGAGGGTCACCTGCAACGGCGACGGCTGTCCGCACCGTGCCGAGCGTGGATGTTGCAGTAACGCCACCTCCTGATTGATTCGAGAAATGCGTGTTGCGAGCTCGTCTTTGACCCCGTCTCACTTGAAACCGCCGATCACTGGAGCAGCACGCCTGAGTGGCCAGGCGTAACGTGCGGCTGCAGGGCCAAACGTCGTCCGCCTTCAACCCGCCTTTGTCCCACGTTCGCCAACGACGACGACGAAGACAACGACCACGACGACGACCACGACGACGACGGCCACTACTGATTACGACGAAAACGACGACGACTACGACGACGAGGACCACGACGAACACGACGGCGGTGGCGGCGACGGCAGCAACGACGGCGATGACGAAGACGCCGCTAGGGCCGGCGCCCTTCTCCTGCAGGCCCCGCAATATCGCCATCGACTGCCTCAGCCCCAGGCAGTAGAGCGCGCCCACCACGTCGTCAACCTTGCCCAGGAAGAGGAGCAGTAAGGAGGGCAGACGGACGAGAGGGAGGAGGAAGAGGAGGAAAAAGCAAGAGCAACGAGGCGCTGGGCGGTGGGCGGCAGCGAGGCGGGAACGCGCGGCAACGTGGCAAAACTTCGGCAGACTCCCCGAGCGCGGCGGGCGGCATCGCGGTGGCAACGGGCTGCATCGTTGCGAAATCTCGGTGGAATCACCAGCGCGATGGGCGGCAAGGAGGCGGCCACGGTCGGCAGCGTGGCGAAACCTCGGCGGACCCCCCGAGCGCGGTGCCTGGCAACGAGGCGCCAGCGGGCGGCAACGTGACGAAACCTCGGCGGACCCCTCGAGCGCGGTGGGCGGCCACGAAGGACCCCCCGCGCGCAGTGGGCGGCAGGGCGGCGGCAGCGGGCGGCAACGTGGCGAGACCAAGATGGACCCTCCAAGCGCGGTGGACGGCAGGGCGGCGGCAGCGGGGAGCCAGGTTTTGCGAGACCTCGGCGGACCCCCCGAGCGCGGTGGCCGGCAGCGAGGCGCCATGGAAACGAGACCCCCCGAGTGGAGGCCTTCTTTGGCACTGCCCTAGGTGCAAGCAGAGCGCGGCGGGCGGTAACGAGACGGCCACTGGCGGCAGCGTGGCGGAACCTCGGCGGGCCCCCCCAAACGCGGGGGCAGCAACGAGGCGGCAACGGGCAGCGAACCTGGCAAACCTCGGCGGACCCCCCAAGCGCGGTGGGCGGCAACGAGACGGCGACGGGCGGCAACGCGGCGAAAACCCGACGGGCCCAACAAATCTGTGGGTGGCAACGCGGCGGCAACGAGCGGCAACATGGCGAAACCTCGGCGGACCACCCACGCGGGCGTCAACGAGGCCGCCACGGGCGGCGAAGCGGCGAAACCTCGGCGGGGGTCTTCCAAGTGGACGGCCACGATGCGGCCACGGGCGGCAACGCGGCGAAATCTTGGCGAACCCCCCAAGTGGGCAGCAACCGAGGCGGCCACGAGTCGACCACAGGCGGTGACGCGGCCAAACCTCGGCGGACCACCCAAGTCGGCGGCAACGCGGCGGCCACGAGGCGCCAACGAGTGGCAACGCAGCGTTATTTGCAAGCGCCACTGCATGCCTGCGAGTACCAGCAGGCTGCCTGGGATCACCAACTTGCTAAGAGGGCCAGCAGAGGTCTGGAGGGCACCGCCGCCGCAAGATGCAGGTGAGCACCACAGTTCGCCTGCGCGCGACACTCTGCGCATGCGAGCACCACGACGATGCGCGAGCACCACACCATGCAAACTGCGTGGTCACCGCGATGGCCTGCGGGCGCTGCGGGGCGCCACCATATGCCTGCGAGCGTGAAGGGGCCCCTCCTGTGAACGTGACCGTTACCAAGGAGGGGAAGGCACGAGGGGAAACGTAGGCCACCTCCCCAAGGAATCCAACACAGCTCGAGGGAAGAGGAGAAGGGTGATGAAGAAGGAGGAGGAGGAGGAGGAGGGAGCGTCCAGGCAGCTTCTCTTGCCATGGGGTCCTGTGTCCATCGGCTGCGCCTCGTTGAGGGCCTTCAGGGGAGCCCGGCACAGTCCCGAGCTGCAGCCTTTGGCACGAGTCATGGCCTGAAAAGTTACCGGGCAAGGGGGGAAGAGGAGCGGGATAGGCAATTCTGTTGGAGGCTTGGACATGGGAGCCAACACCAACAAAGGGGTTGCCTCCAACGGGGGGAGACGACCGTAGATTTTGGTGTTGGTGGTAACATCCCGACTACCCAGAAAACCGGAATAGTACCACCACGCCGGGATCGGGACCATCTTCCCTCGGTGTAGGCACACCGCCGACATTGGTGCTGGTGCCAACCTGTAGGCCTCCGGTTCTGCGGATGTATTACCTCATACCTCTGGGGCCGTCCAAAGGGTGTCCTCATCGCCACGGGTGGATTGGCTTAGGAACCCTGGTCAGCGAGCTGACGGTCAAGTCTGGGGGCCAACCTCGAGGGGGAAAGCCCTGACCGCAGGCGTCGTGCAAAAATCGTGACGGGCACTGCTTCCCTGCTATGGGCTCTGTGAGGCCCTCGCGGACCGGTCTGGCTCGGAAGATCAGGAAGCAATGCTGGGTCGATAGGCCCGTTCGTGCTTGCTTGTCGTGTTGTTGTTCGCCACCTCGGACGTTCGGGCTCGTCGACCAGGCATGGGAGCACCAGGACAACGACCTGGAAGGCCGCAGAACCTCCAACGCCTCCGTAAGGAGAGTCGTGGCGCGGGAAGGAGTCCGCTTTCCGAATGGTTCTGCCAGCCATTTCCAGCTTATCGGGTCGACTGGCGTCCAACGCCGTGGCCAGCGTGGGAGGGAGGAGGCCGAGGACAACGGCAAATGCCGGATGGGATAAACTCTGGGGGCCCTGGACGAGCGCCGGGCGACCGCGTGGACATGCATCTGGAAGCGCGGCGGTTGGATGCGCATGCGTGCGTGTGCGATGCACAGGGGCTCCTTCCGAAGGCTAATACTAGAACAACGCGCGCGCTTTGCGCGTTTCGGTTCTAGCCAAGGCACTGCCAGCGTCACATCAGTCAGCTGATGGGTACGCACGCCTTCCCACCACGATCACCACGTGTGAACGCCTGCGCCAGCATGGGCATGCGCATCTGAATAGCATCTCTCCGCCTATCTCGGCATATCCTTCACACGGAGCATGCCCTGAGGGAGTTCCACCTACGGCATCCCACCCATCTCGGCATACCCCTCACAAGGATCGTGCCTCACAAAGAGCCCCACGTACGACCCCATTGCATAGCGGCACACCCCTCCCGCGGATAATGCTGCCCCGCAGGTGACTGCACTCGAAGAGAAGCTTCGCATAGCCTCGCCCCACTCACGTTGGCACACATCTCACACGGATCGTGCCCTGCAGGGAGTTCCACCTACGGCCCCGAAAACAAGGTTCGCATCCCGCCCCCCGCGCCTAGTTACTTCGGCACACCTCTTTCACTGATCGCGCTTCACAGCGAGCTCCACCAACGGCCCCAGAGGCAAGGTTTGCACAGCGCCCCCCCCCCGCCCATTGCGGCACACCCCTCACGCGGAACGTGCCCCGCCACCCACAGCCCCCGAATCAAAGTTTGCTTGTCTCTCCGTCCATGTCGGCGCACTGTTCACGCGAACCGTGCCCTGGAACGAGCTCCACCTATGGCTCTTGAGGCTCTCTGGGGCCGTCTTGAGGCTCTCTTGGGGGCTTCTCGGACCGTCTTGGGGCGATCTGTGAGGCCTCTGCGACCGTCGTGGACGCCGTGAACATGCAAATAGCGAATATGCTAAAAATCTGCGCTTCCTCATGGAATGCTGCATCTTTGGCCATCCAGGGGGCGCTGTTGGCCAGCATCTTCGAGCCTTCTTAGGGCGTCTTGGGGGGCCTCTTGGCCCGTCTGGAGGCCATCTCGGGGCGTCTTTGGCCCCCATTGAGCCGCTCCCGTCGCTGATCCGTGCTCCCAGGAAGCTGTTTTGGGCGGCTGGGGCGGCCGGGGGGAGGCCTGGGAGCCCCCCGAGCGGGCGGGGGGGCTCAACAGGGTGGGGGGAATCCAAGAGGGTGTGCCCGCCCGGGGCCGGGGGCCCCAGTACCCCAGCATAGCGCATATATATATACGCATCTATAGATCTCTCTCTCTCTCTCTCTCTATGTATGTATGGATATATGTATATATATGTATGTATATATGTACATGTGTGTTTGTTTGTTGGTTTGTATGTATGTATGTATGTATGTATGTATGTATATATGCATGCATGTATGTATAACGCGGGAGCCATGGACATGTAGTAGTTTGATGAACGAGCTTCTTATTATCCAGATCAAGCGGGGGTAGTCCTGGCTTGCGCAACTTCACCCACAGTCGTCCAAATGAATTTGGAGTAGCATCAAGGTCAAGGGTGTACACGGGCCGATGACGAATTCACCTTGCCAGGAGAAACCATTGAATGGCTGCAGAGAGGGAGGGAGGGGGGGGAGGAAGAATGGGAGCGTCGCAGCCAACATAGGTGCCAGAATGGTGAGCCCTTAGTGGGCCCTGGAAACGTCAGGGCCACTTTTCACCGTTTCCAAAAACATGTCCCTTGAAAATGGAAACGGCAAAAAACGGCGACCGGAAACAGCAAACAAACGGCTCCAGGATTGGAACCGGAGCCGGAACCGGTAAAAAAACGGCGACGGAACTGGTAAAACAACGGCGTCGGAACCGGCAAAAAAACGGCAAAACGGAACCGGTAAAAAAACGGCCCTGTCGTTTCCAGGGCCCACTAAGGGTGAGCCTGCCCATCAGCTTCCCTGTGGGCTCGAGAGCCCCGCGGGCCGTGCGAGGGCCCTGGGGAGCGGCTGCAGCGGTCTGCCGTCGGCCGTGTGCGCATCGAGCTGCAGCAAAGACGAGCCAGCTCGTCAGCGCTGGCGTCAGCTGGTGCGGACGACGAGAGACTGGCCATCGCTCGGACGTCCATTTCCTGTGTTTTTTTCGGATTCGTGAGTGGTTTTTTCGCAAAATGATCAAGGATGCTCCTCGATGGTCCTCGCCGAAGAAAAAATGCACACGTCCGAGCGATGCCGAGGAGAGCTCAGCAGGCAGGCAAGTGCTTCTGCCGACGCGGGCACACGCTGCGACAGGAGTCTTGAAGGAGAAGTACGAGCCCCAGTGCAGGTGCCACCATAATTGGCGGGAGAATCTGGCGGGATGATAGCAACGGGAAGGATCTGGCAGAGTTGGCCGCCGCCCCTGCATCCTTGATCTTCTTGGAGAGGTTGCCGAATTGATTCAGCCACTGGATCCGCTTGGTAATCCTCCCGACGTCGTCTACCTCTGGTGGCCGCGGGGGGAACTCTACTCTATGACTATGGAGGAGGGCGGTCTGTATCACTTTTCCTATTTCTCTATCTTTTTTTTTTTCTCTCTCTCTCTCTCTCTCTCTCTTATTCACGCTCTCGCTCTCGCGCCCCTTCCGCAGATTCGAAAGTGCCCAGTGCAAACCAGCGTACTCGGTGTGCGTGCTGTATATATAATTAGCTTCAGAACACGAGTGGGGGGATATCCCCCCTTTGGCGGCATGCAGCGGATGGGAGCACCTTCCGAAGAGCGAGACTGCCAATTGCCCACCTCAGATCGGGGTGAGCGGGGCGGATGGACACCCGCCACGTCCAACTGGCATCTGGGGGACTGAGTGGTGGACGTCACGTCCCCCCAGATCTGAGCCGTCTCCCCGATGGGAGCACACCACCGATCGGCGGCGGCCAAGAGGGGGGCGTCCATAAGGGGGGGGCACAGATCATGGCCAGCGGCATGTGCGCGGCCCAGGGCGGGGGCCAGGGACGTCTTGGAGTAAAAAAAGCATCATGGCCCCCGCCTTGATATCCCCCCCCTCCCCAGTCATCACCCCCCTCTTGGCCGCCCGTGATTGAGTGGCGGACGCCACGTCCTCCCTGATCTGTGCCGCCTCCCCGTTGGGAGCACACCAGCCAGACACCCGCACCGAAGCCCCTTAACGGTGCGGTGACCAAACCGTGCGGTGAGCCAGGGGGCATTCGGGACGACCGCACGGTTTTGAGACCTGGGTCGCTTTCCGAGGATGTCTCGGGCGACTGGGGCCTCCAAGGTCCCAAAACCGTGCAGTGACGGACGGTGCAGTGAGGCCCTCTGGGATTTCGAGGTCACCGCACGGTCCGTCACCGCACCGTTTGGGGACCCACCACGATCGCGGCCGGGCCAGCCCTGGGCTCGGGGTCGGTGCATGCACCCGTATATGGATCGGCAAGGGGGGGCAAACCGATCGCGGCCAGGCCAGCCCTGGGCCCAGGATCGGCACATACCCTCCTAAAGCGACCAGGTGGGCATGTGTCCGATTTCCGCCGAGCTTCCGCCGGCGTCCGCCGGCGGAGGCGGCCTCGTTTTACTCCGCCGCCCTTCCGCCGCGGAAGAGATGACCAATCCTTCTATCCGCGAAGGCAAGGCCCTTTTTGTGACGCCGCAGATGCGCACAGATCCTGAGCCAAGGCTTGGCTTGGCCAGGACAAGCATACTTGCACAGTTGGCGTCCTGCGAACGCTCACCCCTAGCTCGAATCTCTGAGATCTAGCGGCTCGGGCGCCGCAGCCTTCTCAGAACGGTTTTGAACGCTCTGAGAGCGTTCCGGAACGCTCTGGAACGGATTTATCCTCGTTCTAGCCCCGTCCGCAGCCCGTCTGTGCCCATACCCAAACGCGGCATACAGTGCCTGACTAGTCCGGGCGCGATGTACCTCGGCCGTGCTCGGTCAGAGTCTGGGCTCTTGTCGTGGCGTGCACGAAAGGTTGAAGAACGAGGAATCCGGGGGAGGAGGAGGAGGAGGAGGAGGAGGAGGAGGAGGAGGAGGAGGAGGAGGAGGAAGAGAACGAGGAGGACGACGACGACGCAAATGAGGCCAAGGATGAGAAAGAATTAGCCTGGCGAAGGACCCAACCATATGCAGTTGAGAGTACCGCAATTGTGAATATCTTCTTCGGTGGCGCTCCCTATGGGGCCACGAGCCGTATGAGGGGTGTGCCGAAATGCGTGGCAGTGTACACAACACGAACGAAGACGATAGGTCCGAATATGAAAGCTTGAGCGCGTGCGAGTCGGATCGCGAGCGAGTCTGATTATGAATGAATCTGCGCGCGATTGATTCTATTCGCATGAATGCGTGCATGGATACGCCCAGTGTAAATGTATGTATACGACTGTGAACAGTTTGGGTCTGCGTGACTCTCGGTACTCGTGACTCTGAGCGTCGCCTCTGCAGGGGGCTTCCCTGGGAACCCCGACGGCAGCGCCCGCGCGCCGCGACGCCCATGTCGGCACGCCACACACCTGGTGTGCGGGACGCATGCGGACGGCAGCACTGGGGCCTTCGGTGGAGCTCCCTGTGGGGCCACGAAACGTGTGAGGGGTGTGCCGAAATGGGTGTGCGGGACGCATGCGGACGGCAGCCATGGGGCCTTCGGTGGAGCTCCCTATGGGGCCACGAAACGTGTGAGGGGTGTGCCGAAATGGGTGTGCGGGACGCATGCGGACGGCAGCACTGGGGCCTTCGGTGGAGCTCCCTGTGGGGCCACGAAACGTGTGAGGGGTGTGCCGAAATGGGTGTGCGGGACGCATGCGGACGGCAGCCATGGGGCCTTCGGTGGAGCTCCCTATGGGGCCACGAAACGTGTGAGGGGTGTGCCGAAATGGGTGTGCGGGACGCATGCGGACGGCCACTGGGGCCTTCGGTGGAGCTCCCTATGGGGCCACGAAACGTGTGAGGGGTGTGCCGAAATGGGTGTGCGGGACGCATGCGGACGGCAGCACTGGGGCCTTCGGTGGAGCTCCCTGGGGCCACGAACGTGTGAGGGGTGTGCCGAAATGGGTGTGCGGGACGCATGCGGACGGCAGCACTGGGGCCTTCGGTGGAGCTCCCTGTGGGGCCACGAAACGTGTGAGGGGTGTGCCGAAATGGGTGTGCGGGACGCATGCGGCGGACGGTGGAGCTCCCATGGGGCCACGAAACGTGTGAGGGGTGTGCCGAAATGGGTGTCGACGCATGCGGACGGCAGCAGCCTTCGGTGGAGCTCCCTATGGGGCCACGAAACGTGTGAGGGGTGTGCCGAAATGGGTGTGCGGGACGCATGCGGACGGCAGCCATGGGGCCTTCGGTGGAGCTCCCTATGGGGCCACGAAACGTGTGAGGGGTGTGCCGAAATGGGTGTGCGGGACGCATGCGGACGGCAGCCATGGGGCCTTCGGTGGAGCTCCCTGTGGGGCCACGAAACGTGTGAGGGGTGTGCCGAAATGGGTGTGCGGGACGCATGCGGACGGCCATGGGGCCTTCGGTGGAGCTCCCTATGGGGCCACGAAACGTGTGAGGGGTGTGCCGAAATGGGTGTGCGGGACGCATGCGGACGGCAGCACTGGGGCCTTCGGTGGAGCTCCCTGTGGGGCCACGAAACGTGTGAGGGGTGTGCCGAAATGGGTGATGACGATGACGATGACGACGATGACAATGACGATGATGATGATGATGATGATGATGATGATGATGATGATGATGATGATGATGATGATGATGATGATGATGATGATGATGATGATGATGATGATGATGATGATGATGATGATGATGATGATGATGATGATGGGAGGAGGGAGGAGGGGGAGGAGGAGGAGAGGAAGAGACGCGGGCCACCGTCTCTTCAAAACGAGGACCCAACACCACAGGATGGTTGGGAAAAATACGGGAAACATAAACGAGAAAATGTGCGTGAACAAAAATGCGGGTGAGAACCCTCAGGCGATGATCCGTGATACTGGCATGACTACAGGCACACATGTGTTGTCTAAGCTCGCGCTCGAGCCTGAATACTGCTACGCACATGGGCGAGAGCGGGAGGGATGGAGGAGGGGGGGTCCCTATCTCCCTTTTAGCCGCCCCGCGCTCTCAAGGCCTCCTCGGCAGCGTCGTCGGTCCCGAAGGGTGCGGCCTTGGGCGTGCACCGCGGAGGAGGGAGAGGAATCCGAGGAGCGCCCCATCCCCCTGGTCGACCAGTGCCTGCCACAGAGGATCCCCGAAGCGTCGGGGCGCGTCCCGCATGCGAGATGCAGCGCAGCCCCTCTTTACAACGAACACAGGCCTGGTGTGTGATAGCGCCTCCTCCGCTTGGGCCCTGTTCGTGAACTGCCCCTTGTGCAACGGATGATAGCTCCATGATTGGAACTCCTCGACGTCGTCCTCCCTCCACATCCCTCTCTGATTTACCACGGGTAAATGAACTACTTGAACCGTGCCCCCTCCCCTGCAACACATATGAAAACTGCTGGGCCATGCTGGCACAGGTCGGTACACAGATGTGACGCACCCGTGTGACAGTGGGAATGGTATGCGGAATGTGACGGTGCACACGTCGTGCATACACGCGGTCTGACTTGGTCTCCGTGACCATCGCATTGCGCACCTTAAGCGCCTAACATCTAGTCGCATAGTGAATTGAGAGTAGGGCTTAACCAGAGCTTGCTTTCTCCAGAGGTGCGGCTGACTGACTGGCTGACTGGGCTGGGCTGGGTTGCTCTGACAGTGATGTGAGGCGTGGCAGTGATGTGGCTGCCAGGAAAAGCTCGCATCCCGAAGTTTGACTACTGGGACATTGAAGCATCATGCAAATTCGAAGAACTACGGCACACCAATTCGTTGCGAGGAGGTCTCCGTTTCCCGCGCCGGAATCGTCAAGCGCTCTAGGGCACCCCACGTTCCCTGCTCGCGAACTCTCTAGGCGATCAGGTCGGATCTGGTCGGATGTGACGCGTCACGTCACTGTCACTGACTGACTGACGCCCATTCGCACGCACGCTGGTCTTCCGGCGGCCGCTGGCACGGCCTCTTGCGCAACCTTTCTACCTGGCACCCGGCACCCGCGGATGATCAGGGTGCGGCGGCGCTCTCGCAGAAAGCCCTCGCCCAGGACCCCCCCGCCCAGGGCCCCCCGCCCAGGACCTTCCTGGCGATGCCCCCCCCCCCCGCGCAGGGACCCCCCGCGCAGGGCCCCCCCGCGGAGCGGCCTCTCCGCCCAGGGCGCCCCCGCGCCCAGGGCCTTCCCCCCCCCCCTCTCGTCGCGCAGCAGCGGGCCCACGGCGGCCACGCACGCCCAGGGATAGAGCAAGACAGGGCTGAGCCCAAACGGTGCTTTTCGTGGTCGTTGTCGTTTTCGTTCTCCCTCGCTTCTGTCTCGAATCCGCCCTTACCCCAAGACGAAGCCGAAACGACCACGGCCCACGAAGTCGCCAGAAACACCGTTCAGGCCCGGCCCGGAGGCAGGAGACCGTTGGGGCGCCCTCGCTCCGAGCGGGACGGTCTCAGCTCGGCGGCCGACGACGAAGCCCACGGCGGCGCAACCAACGTCACGACGCGCTCGGCTTCGGCGAACGAGGGCTCGACCTCTCCGATGCAACCCGTAGCAGGACGTTGCAAGCGTCTGCGTCCGAGGATACAGCCGATGGCGCAACAGATCGCAGAACGGGCTCAAGTCTAGGCGGCTGAGGGCGCAACGTGTGGCTCAACGAAAAGCAGGGCGCATCAAAATTCGGCGGCCCAGGGCGAAATCGGTACGCCGCATTGGAAGAGGACGCGCTGCTTTATTTTACCCGGGGGGGGAGGGAGGCGGTCTGGTCCCCCCCACCCCTCCCCCCGTTGCCCTGTCCGCCATCCCAAATCCACACACCCTTTTCGATTCGCTTTCCAAGATCCCCCCCCCCGAACCCCTCGGGGCTTCGTAAACGGAGGTTTAGCTAAACGGGTGCTCAGGCTTTTCGATATGCCCCCGTTGATTGTGCCCCCATCTACGGCGCCCAGGGCCCCCTAAACGGGGGCATATCCAAACGTGGAAATCAGCGTTTCCCGTGCCACCGTTTGCTGTGCCCCAGTTTCTTGCGCCGTGAAACCCCCTACCCCTCTTCCGAGCAAGGAGTCGAACACTGTCCCTGTTTCCCACCTGCCATCTCGAAGCCGGACAAGAATTATCGAACTCTACAGGACCACCCGAACTTCATCCCGAAAACCCAAACCTGGCTCCAAACCATCCTCGTCGATTGTGCTCGCCGCATAGTATCGCAGGGGCGCGGAAACAATTTGTATTATATTCTCCTCGCCGTACGGCAACGCACGGGCGTCGAATACAAGGCTCCTCCAATCGTCACATGGCAACGCAGGGGCGGAAACCAATACAATTATACCCTACAAGACCGATGGCAACGCCTTCGGAGAAGAAGGCATATAAGTCCACTCGAATATCCGCGTGGCAGCGCAGAAGAGCCTCAAGAGAGCCCCAAGAGGGCCTCAAAAGCTGCCAAGGGCGCAACAAGATCCAACAGGCCTCCAAGAGGCGCCCCGAGGTCTCTAAGCTCTATTGGTTATGTGCTGGTCTACGCCCATCCTCCAAATAACTCTCCTGGTCAACGCTTATGGATGGGCTGATGGGGACACGCAAAATATTTATGTTACTCCAAATCGTCACGCGGCAACGCAGGAGGGGCGGCAGACAACACTGTCATAGTTCATTGGTCACGAGGCAACGCAAGAAGGAATGAACACCCATTAGTCTAGTCCGCTTGCCACGCGACGACGCAAGAATATGAGGAGCGGATCAGCGATTGCTAGTCCACGCGTCATGCGGCAACGCAGAAAGGTGCGGCTAACACATGCTGATATATTCCACTCGTCACTTGACAACGTAAGACAAGGCAAGACCTATACTAGCCTAGTCAGCCCGTCACGCTACAAACCATGCGAGGCAGCAAACGCAACGATTCTACTCCACTCGGCACGTGGCTACGCCTGGGGAGGCGGCAAGTCCTTGTATACTCCATGCCGTCTCGTGGCAACCACTGCGGTCATAAAGAGACAATCTTCTACTCGACGTGTCACATGGCAAAGCCCAAGGGCGCAGAATCTGCCTGCCACGCGAACGAGCACGAACGGCAAGGACAAAGAATGGCCAACCCGTCACATGGAGACTCTTTGGTGGCGGAAAATAGATTATGCAATGCTTCGCATACCCCCACCAATTTCTGTCAGAAACGCTGCCCACGAGAGATGACGGGAAAGGGGATGAAGAGACACATATAGCGACACGCAGCGGGCGACCAGGATGGACAGCGAGATCTCTGGGAGCACGCGGGTGGCATTGGATGGCTTTTTCGGGCCATCCCTGGGGCTCGCGGCGGTGAGAGGGGAAGAGGAGGATGAGGACGAGGAGGAGGAGGACGAGGAGGAGGAAGAGGAGGTCAACGGCCTCTTGGGGCCCTCGTGGCACGCTCTTTGGGCGCTCTTGGGCGCTCTTGGGGCCGTCTTGGGAGCCCTGGAGGGCCTCTTGGGGCCATCTTGGAGGCTATCGATCAAAGGAAAGGGGGGGGGCCTAAAATTCTGGCTCCCTCCTGGGATTATCCAGGTCGCCTCTTGAGGCCCTCCTGGGGCGCTCTCTGGCCGCTCTTTGGGGCGCTCTTGGGGGCCTCATGGGCCCCTCCTGGGCCTCTCTTGGGTCATTTCGGGGCCCTCTTATTGAGGTCCCCCCCAGCGCATCGGAAGTGAACCTGCAAGAAAGCACACGTCATTGATGTGTTCCGTGGTTGTCGCGAGCTTTTTAGGGGGCAAACAAACCTACCTCGCTTTTGACCACCCTCGCTTCCAAGAGATACCAAGCGATGCCAAATTGCGGCCTGTACTGGTCAGGCCGCTTGACGAGGAGGCGCGTGGTATGGCTTGGTTTTGCCTGGAAGCGAAAGCGGGGGAGGTAATTCACGCTCTGACACTTTTGGCCTCTTCGGGGAGGTCCTGTTGAGGTCTCAGAAGAAGCGCATGGTAAGTGCACCTGCAAGAAGGCAAACGCCACTGATTTGTTCACTGGTTGCTGCAAGCTTTGGGCCTCTTGGGGGGGGGGTCCTGCGGGGGCTCTGAGAGCAATTGGAACCGTCGTGGCCCACGTCGGGCCTCTCGGAGGCATGTCAGAAGCTATATTGAACCATCTTCGGCTATCTTGAGCCCCCTTGGAGGCCGTCTTGGAGCATCGGAGGCCCTCTTGGAGCCATCTTGGGGCACCCTGGACGCTCTAACCCCTCGCGCCCCCCCCCCCAAACCCACCTCGGGGAGGGGAGGGGCAGCGTGCCCCTCCCCGAAGGGAAGCGGGTGTCTGGACGAGGAAGACAAGCACTAGCTGGACCGCCTTGGCCAACAAAAGCTGGTGGGACTGGTCTGCCCCACCCGCGACGCGACAGCGCAGGCCCGCCCGCCCGCTCGCACGGCCGCTCGCCTGCACGCCCGACCGCCCGCCCGCTCGCCCACCCGCCCACGTGCCCGCCGGCCCGCCGGCGCCCCCCGCCCGCGCGCGCGACAGCCCGCCTGCTCGCCGCCGCAAGCGACGACTCCGACGACGACGACGACGACGACGACGACGACGACGACGGGGACGGGGACGACGACGACGGGGACGACGAGTGGACGTCCAGGGCGGCGACGACAAGGACGACGACGGGGACGACACTGACGACGACACGACGGCGAGAATGTCGACGACCTACGACGACGACGACGACAGTGAGAAAGATGACAATTGAGACAATCAGTCAAGCTAGCAAAAGAGGGTTCCCCCCATTTGCTCGGGTCCCGCGGACGCTGTGTCTCAGACTTGAGGGGGTCATGGAACGGTCCGTGCCATGCGCTGGCACGGTGCCGGAACTTGCCTCAAGCCTCTGGATGCACTGAGAGAGAACTGGAAAGGTGACCTTCGCTGCACCGTCGTTTTTGTAGGAGCGACGGGGGTTCTAAGGAGCCGAGCTCTATACACCGACGCTGTTTCCGGCCTCACACTGACACTCGCAGAAGAAAACGGATCCTGGTGCATACGCGGTCCTGGTGTATACATGTTCCTCTGTCTCCCCGGGAAAACGGGGAAAGAATTATACACCACATTACCTCGACGTCATATCCGATCCTTCATAATGTTTGTCTTGCAGGTTAAAAGCAATGTTGGGAGAACGCCACGCGACTACTGCGTGCTAGCCAAAGCCGGGCACCACAAATGGAACCGCAACGCCAACTACCAACAGGAAAATGCAACGACCCAAACGCGAACTCAACAGCGCACGCTTCCTGGGAGTGGAAGGGTGCGCAATTTGAGCGGCGGATGAGAGTTGGACTGCAGTGCCGAATGACAGGCCCTTGAGTCAAATGGTTACGGACGATGCGACCACGATGAGGCCAGCCGTTAGGGGTGACAAGGGGGGGGGCCTCCTGCAGCATGTGCGCCAGCCGTTAGGGGTGACGAGGGGGGCCTTCTGCAGCATGTGCTTCCCCCTGTCGTAACGGCGGCGGCCGTGCCGCCCCTCTGTCGTAACGGCGGCGGGGCCCCGAGAAGCCAGTAGGCCCCACGCCGTAACGGCGACGGCGGGATCGCTGGTGATGCAGCCAACCCTCTCCAGACCGTTCTGCGCTGCCCCACAAGAACGCGAAGATCAAACAACTCCTGGGATTGAGAAGCAGCCCGCCACTGGCAGTGTATGCGATACGGGGATATATCCATATCCACCGCCTGGAAACGACGTGCTGATGCCCCAGCGGGCGGTGGATAATTATGGATACAGATCAGCCCCTGGGAGCCCGAACGTATCCATATCTACCGCCTGCCGGGACCCCCGAAGATTGATCCTCCAGGCGGTGGTCATGTATAAATTCCCGCCTCGGAATGTATATAAGAAGAAGAAGAAGAAAAAACCACATAAACATAAACTTTTGGCGCTCCGCGCGGATTTCTTGGATCTGCGCTGGACCCCCTCCCTCCCTGGCGCGCGGAGCGCGCCAGGGGCGGCACCCGAGGCGCCGCCGGGGGGCCCAGCGCGGACCCAAGAAATCCGCGCGGAACGCCAAAAGTTTATGTTCATGTGGTTTTCCTTCTTCGAGTGGATCGGTTCCAGTTTCCGACGTTGCGCGCCCGTCGGCTGCTCGCGAGAGTGACCCTGGGTAAGAGTGACCCTTGGTGCGCGGCTGTTCGGGGGCCGCGGAGCGACCATCACACAAGCGTGCAAGACGATACGATCGCACCGCGCTCGACGGTCGGGGGACCCCACGTGGGCCCGCACCCGAGAGGCCACTCCGGCGAAGGGCCACCCTTACTGTGCTGTCGACCGCGCGATCTCGCTCGTCGGATCCCGGCCGGGCCGGCTCGGGGCGCGAAGCTGCCGCTGCAGCGGCCCGGCCCCCGCCGCAGTTTCGGGGCAATCGGGGGGGCGGGGCGGGCGGGCGGGCGGGCGGCGGGGCCCAACCCGGAGGCCTCGCGGCGCCGGGGGGTGCGGGGGGGAAGGCCCGGGAGTCGAGGCGGAGGCGGCGGGGAGGGAATCCACGGGGCCCGTCGTGCGCCTTCCCCCGGGGGGGGCCTCGGGGAGGCCAGGTCCAGAACGCACCGACACCTTCCGGAGTGTGTGTGTGTGTGTGTGTGTGTGTGTGCGTGCTGTCCTCGCGTGTCGCACGCGCGTGGGGCAGCGCCTGCAGTGGGCTCCTGTCCAAGCAGTGAGCTCAGGCCCCAGAGGAGCCCCTCGCTCCCATACGCGCCTGCGGGGGCCAATGGTCTACGCTTAGCTCTAGCTCCAGATGCTGTGTTCGCTGCAACTGCAGATTACACATCAGCCGCAGCTTGAGGTTGCTCGTTGGTATCACCTGTAAAGGCAGAGTCGGCCGTGGCTGCATCACAAACTGCATAGACTCAATGTCGCTTCTGCGTCCTACTCAGCATTGAGGATATATTAAGTGTCGCTTCACTTGTGACCTGGATGTAAATCTGGATGCAAATTCCTATTCAGATGTAGTGCTCCCGCGGCCAAGGAAGGCTTTTTTATAAAAGAAAAAAGAGGCAAGAACAGCAGCACTCGGGTCAATGTCCGTGGCTTTAAGCGAAGCGCCAACACACGAGTACTCACTCACTCACGCACTCTCACACACACACACCTCGAACAATGAACGGCGTCAATCTCCCAGGACCACTCCCTTAAACCTGTATGTAAGTGATGGGAGTGGATCGCACATAATACGTAGCGCCCCGCAGATGCGGAAGGGAGTGAGGGGGCTGTGGGGACGTCGGCAGTTTGCGAGACTCTGAAAAAGCCCGCCGCAGGCGCCAAAGTTTCACAAGTTATGCAACGAGCCCGCCGCCGGCGTCGATTTTTCGCTAAACCAATGTGGGTAGGTCGCGAGTGGGTCGCAAGTGGGTCGCGGGTGGCTACCGGGTGGGTCGCGGGGTGGGTCGCAGGGTGGGTCGCAGGTGGGTCGCACATGGGTCGCGGGGTCGCGGGTGGGTCGCGGGTGGGTCGCGGGGTGGGTCGCGGGTGGGTCGCGGGGTGGGTCGCGGGTGGGTCGCGAATGGGTCGTGGGGTGGGTCGCGGAGTGGGTCGCGGGTGGGTCGCGGGGTGGGTCGCGGGGTGGGTCGCGGGGTGGGTCGCGGGTGGGTCGCGGGGTGGGTCGCGGGGTGGGTCGCGGGGTGGGTCGCGGGGTGGGTCACGGGGTGGGTCGCGGGGTGGGTCGCGGGTGGGACGACGACAACAAACAAACAAACAGACAATCAAACAAACAAACAAGCAAGCAAGCAAGCAAGCACGCAACAACAACAACAACAACAACAAACAACAACAACAACAACAACAACAACAACAACAACAACAACAACAACAATTACTAGCACGTGGGGACACTCCGTTCTCACCAGTGCCAGGGTTTTCATAGGAGGCGGGCAATACCCCCACTTTGTGGGGGGGCCGGTTCAAGCTCTACCAAATTTCCAAACGACTCTTCGCCACCACCCACACCCAGCTTCCCGCCCTATGACGTTCGGACACTTCACTTCGTGGCATGCGGACGACCGTGGCTACTATTCAGGGCCCCGCGGCCGACGACGACGGCGTGCGCGCGCGAAGAAAAAACGAATGTGTCCCGCATGGTATTATTTGACAGGGATGATGGCCCTGGCAGGTGCGCAACCGTTGTTGCAGAAGTTCGAAAAAGTTGCTCGCAAAAGCCCGTTTGACAGAAATGATTAAAAAGTGTTGGGTTTCCTACGAATCCGCAAGAGCGCGCGGGATGAAATTTTGACATTTTTTTTGAAAAACCATTGTTTTTTTATGTTTTTATGTTAAAATCGCTACGAAAACTAAGGTTTTGGAAGGATTTCGTCTTGCGCGCGCGAATGTCCACTTTACCTTATTTTTTGCAAGGGATTCTTGAAGTTTGGTCATGTTAGAACAAGAAATGTCCACTTTGCCTTATTTTTTGCAAGGGAAAACCGATCGTAACAACACAACCGGATCTGGTATACCCCGTTTTGCCTGAGACTTCCTCACGAAAATGATGAAAATGTGGCTGCGGCCTAGGCGCGGCGGGGGGGGCGCGCACCAGGGGTCCCAACAATAATTATTCTTTAGAATTAATAATGTTCAACAACAACAACAACAACAACAACAACAACGCAACAAGCAAAATCCTCACCACGGATCCCTACTTCAACCACGCACCCAGGGACAATGAATGACCGTTCGGCCCTCTCACTCTGATAAGATTGTGAATAAGGCCGACCGGAGATAGGAAGAGAGCGGTACGGGACAAAAACACCGGGCCACTGAGACGTCTGAGTCGGAAGTGGGATTTGGGAAAAACCAAGATTTCGGGACGCGCCAAAAGCCCCCAGGCCCGTTCGGTGGAAGAAGAGCAACCTCAGCGGCGGAGGCTTGGGGCTCGCAAGTAGCACGTACTGCAGATGTCAGGCAAAAGAAATTCGCACGTTGCGGAAGCCGGCCACACTCTCGGCGCCGCCAGAGGGAGGAAAAGCATGCCAGTCCAGACCTATAACGCACCCTCGGGATCACCGAGATCCCACATGCTTCCCTCCCAAAGTCACCAGATTGCCCCGAGAGGACCCTGAGCGGCTCTCACCCATCTCCAGAGTGGTCCCAAGGTGGCCCCAAGAGGCCTGGAGAAGCATGGCGTCAGGAGCTTACTGGATGGAGAGCGATAGGAGGAGGACGCAACCACATACGTTATCGGGCGTCCCAGGTGGTAGGGGTCACGGGCATGGCCAAGGGGACCCCCCCGCAAAAATAAACAAGAGCTGTCCAAAAATTGGGGGCCTCTGGGAAGAATGCCGGGGGTCAGATTGAAGGAAGCGGAGCATAGGGGCGCAGTCGGTTCAAAGAAGGGGAAGGGAATAAGAGAGAAGGGGGGGAGCCTGCTGCGCCTTGGCCCTGATGTAGGCAACAGGGTCGTCCAGACCAAGGCCCTTCTCTTGCATCTCCTGCAACACCTTCAAGGGAGCATGCCGAGGGCTCGGTATCTGGATGGCGTATACCGCACACGCGTGCGTCTGTATGTATGCATGCATCCATGGCGTGCGCATGCACACTTAGCCACGCTTGACCGATACCAGTGGACGCGGGGAAAGCAGGCCGCGGAGAACGTTGTATGCGAAAGGCCACTATCGGGCCTCACCACAAGCAGAAAAGAATAATCCGTTTCTGACCAGGAACAGTACTTCGATAGACTGCACCGCGGGGCACTGGGAGCAACTTTGCCGCGGAGCTGCTGCGGGATGAATGCAGCGGATGAGAAATTCAGTGGGTCGTATGGGGTCACGCATTTCCGTCGTGGCACCCCCAGAAGATACTACGAAGCCTAACTATTGAGAGCAAGAAGTACTGTGCAAATGCCCCACGCAAATTTACATGGTTCCGCTGCCGCGCGTGCCCATGTGCACGCTAAAGAAAGACGAGGGCGGCGATGACGAAGTACCCGAGGCATGCCGTGCACACTTACACTAGTTCATTTTATCACCAAGGGAGTGCGGCGGGGTGGCAAGCGGATTTTTCCAACAGCAATGATGAGCGAGTGACACTGGCCTCCATGACTGCACACCACCAAAGCAAAGGCTGCACCAAAGCGTGAGACGGAGCAAATGGCGGTCGTCAACTCACACGTGCCCGCGTGCAGAGTACTCAAGTGGGCCTTGAAACAAATCAGCATGAGAGATTAAACGAAACGACCGGAAGAGGAGGACATGTCGGAGGAAGGGAACAAACAACGAAGCAACAGAAGAGGAATGTCCGCTGCTTCATAAGGGGCCGATCACGCCATGACAAAAGTAAGATTCCAGCAGTCCTCGCCGGCGGTGTGAAACCAATCGCACGGCCTCTAAAAGCGGAAAGCAACCTATGCGTACAACTAGTGCAGGCTGTAAACTGTCACGGAGTCGGCGCGCCAAATGCCTGGCGAATGCCGCAGAGTCTGCGCCAGAGACCTGTCAAACGTGGCGGAGTCGGTGCGCCAGAGGCCTGCCAAATGTCGCGGAGTCGGTGCGCCAGAGGCCCGGCTACGGAGAGGAAGAAGGAAGAGCGAGAGAGGAGGAAGAGGGAAAGGCGAGAAAAACCACGGGTCGGAAAGTCAAGCGTTAGGTGCCGTGGGCTGGTAATTGGTAAGCGGACTCCCGCGTGGATAGGACACCCTTGTATACAACGGAACGGCTCAATCATGAAGCCTTGGAGCCCAGCGCGCTTGCACAGAACGCCGGTCGCGCAGGGTGCAACATCCAAATCCTTGGTCCCAATGGCAAGAGGAAACGAGCCAACTTAGTAGAACAGAGAAAGGCTGTGCTTGCATTGGTCGCCCAGGCGCTCACTCAGAGCGCCCAGCGATCACCTCGAACTACGCCAGCGAAGATAGAAGCAGCGACCCAGGGACGTCCGTTAGGCTCGGCCATTCCTCGGGCGCATGTGGTCCGCGGCGTCGATGTTACGAAACCCGCTGCCAGCGACACCCGCCATCGCAAACCTGGTTGCCTCTCTGGGTTGCGTGTTCATGTCTGGCGGAGCGCCAGGGCTCGTCCTCTGACTCATCTGGAATCAGCGGCGCCCTGTCCAGACGTCGTGACGAAGGCTCAGTGGTGGCAGCGAGATGCCGCCAGGACTGCGTGTGATCAGGATCACTGGCCCCCATCGGCATGATCAATCCGCATCGAGATCGACGGCAGAACAGCGGTGAAAGCATGGCGCGCGCGGCCACTCGATCTTCAATTGAGGGCGAATGTGTGACGGGTTCTCAAAAAGACCTCGTCCACACTCTTTGTAGAAATAGTGATCAAGTCCAGGTGGCCAAGACATGCTGGGGTTTATTGGGTAAATCACAATCCTGCGCACGTGCAACAAATACGTGTCCGTGCGCTGAATGACATCACGCGAATAAGAACTGCAAACTTTCCAACCCAGCCACAGCAACACTTCCGTGTTACGCAGCGTAACGCTGCAATCTCTAACATGCAGTCTCTCCCCAGGCGACTAGAGCAACGCTAGAAATGGTCGGGCCTCGGGTAGTTTACACCGTGGGCGGAGAACGTCGGATGACTCTCGGCGGAAAGTCTTAGAAATAAACAAGAACATCCCAGGGTCGACCTGGGGACGAGGGGGGAAAGAAAGGAAACGGCTGAATCCGGGAGAAAAACGCACTCTGGATTTTATCCGTTGCAGGGCCAATGCCAGAGTCAATCCGGCAAATGAAATTAGCCTAACTACATCCCGCTGGACTCTGGCACAAATTCCAAATGACGAAGGTTCACTTGGGCGCTAATCCGTCAAAACCTTGATCTGGCGCCGGCCCCTGCCTGAGTTTAGCCGGGAGATACTCCGCGGTAGTGGCCGCTTAAGGTGGAGCGAATCAACTCGGAGTTGATCCACGCGCTGCGGTGGATAAGCAAATCCGCGATGTCCACCAACGCCAGTAGCACCACTTCACTAGCACTATCGCGCTGACGAGCAACATGAGCTCGTTCATTTTCACAGCGATCGCGTTCTGAACACCACCGCCTTCTACATTAGCATCGCCATCGCTTTCATCCTCGCAACGTTTACCACCATCAACACCATCATGAACACCAGGGTCAGACTGATCATCCCCATCACACTACACCATCATCACCACCAGCAGCATCATCTACACCATCATCATCCTCACCATCATCACAATCATCTTCATCATGATCATCACCAAAACCATCTCCATTTCTTTCATCGGTCATCATCATCGTCATCAGCATCAGCAGCATCATCATCATCAGGCAGCACCACTGTGTCCATCACGAAGGCGTCGAGCAACAATACGGCGTTTCCCGCGCCGGAGTCGAGCACCACGTCGGCAACCAGGTCCACAGAGTCGAGTGGTACAACGGTGTCCACCACGACGGAGTCGAGCACCCCGTCGGCAACCAGTTCTACGCAATCGGGCAGCACCACGTCGCCCATCACGACGGAATCGAGCACCTCGTCGGCATTGCGGCGTCAAGCTCTACGTTGGCCTCGTAGTCATCGTAGTTGGGAACCACACATGTGTCCAACCCCACGGAAACGACACGTACCAAGGTGTCTTCCACTACGGAATCGGGCACCACATCGGAAACCAGGGTCCAGGAGTCGACCAGTACCACGGCGCCCACTACGACGGAGCCAAGCACAACGGCAGCATCCAACAGCACGGAGTCGACCATTTCTACGGTGTCAAGCAGTACCTCTCTGTCTTCCACCACGGCGTCGAGCACTACGTCGGCATGCAACGAAGTCGGGCAGTACCACGACTGACGGAGTACAGCACGACCATGGCGTCTGCCGCGACGGAGCCGAGCACCACTTCAACATCAACTTCTACGGAGTCGGGCAGTACCGCGGAGTTGATGAAGTCGGCCACCTTACTGGTGTCTAGCTCCACGCGCCGAGCAGCACCACGGCGCCTACCATGACGAAATCGAGCCCCCAATCGGTATCTAGGCCTGCAGAGTCGAGCAATCCCAGAGCGCCCACCACGGTGATGAAGTCGAACTTTGAATTCTTCGGGGTCTGCACGGCTCCTCGCTCTCGCATGGGCGGAGCCGGAGTCACGGCCATTTCCTCCCATGCACCTTTGGTTCTCATCCTCATCACCTCATTCGCACATGCACGCAGGCACCGCTGTCGAAACACCCTGCAGGCATCTCGCGCCCCAGCGCGGCTGTCGAGAGCAAAGCTCTCTGCTACGAGCTTTACCATTATTTGGACCCTACTTCATGTTCGTATACCTTGGTACTTGCGCCGAGAAGAAAACACGATTCTCATCACGTCCATTCCCATAACCATCACCATCAATTTTGTCACATTTCGTTTCCCTCAGAATTCACATACGCATGAACACCGCCACCGTTATCACCAACATCTTCGTCACCAGTACGCTCATCAGCGACACCCTATCATTACCAGCACTACCAACATCAACACCAACAACATCAGCAACTTCACCATCACCACTGTCACTGCAATCCTTCACATCACTAAAGTCACATCACTAACAAGCCTCGCATCAACACGAGCATCAACATCGACACCGTCACCGCCTTGCCCGCCAAAACTAAACGCGATAAGTCGTTAGAGCCCCCCCCCGCAGCAGGGGCAACAAATTATTTGCTCGGCTGCCTTATTGAAAGACTGGGGCCCCACCACTAAGGGGTAACATATACTTTCGTTCCGCAGCATTCGCCGCACAACGCCGACGACGGCACCGACGACTACGATTGCGACTACGACTACGGAGATTTCTACTACTTATGCCTCAGAAGCTCCATCCTCAAAAGCTCCATCCCCATATAAATTGTATGCAACGCCGTCGGCGGAGAACGTGTCGATCTATGTTACAGTCTTCGTGCAAACGTGCTCACAATCCCTCTGTCGCGCAGCGTGGCCGAACGGGAATTCATCCCTGGGAGAAGAAAGGAACAGTATCCAGCCCGCCCAACAACGAGGGGGAAATGGTCTCCGCCGCGAAAACGATGGCGCTTACGACTACGACTGGGATTACGCTTGCGATGGCGACTACAACCGCGATGGCAAGTACGAGTACAGTCGCGACTTCAACCGCGTTTACAACCACGATAATGACCAAGACTACAAACACGACTACAATCACAATCACTGGTTCCAACCCTCGTGGTGAGAACGCTCACGAATCCCCTCGAGCGCAAGGTCGCCCACCATGGGTTACTCCCTGGGGGGAAAAGCACTCCAACAATAACCACCCCGCCCAGAAAAGAGACGGAACATACTTTCCACTGTGGCCACGACAGCGCAGACGATGACGACCGTGGCCAATACGATCGTAGTAGTAGCTGTGGTAGTCGACATACAAGTCGTAATCGTGGTCGTAGTCGGGGTCGTAGTCGTAGTCGTACTCTCACGCGTAATCCTATTAGTAGTAGTCGTCGTAGTACTAGTCATAGTAGCAAACGTAACAGTAGCC